ATAGAGCTTACAAGAAAAGCCCTAAATGTTCATTGTCACCTCAGAGCTATAGAAAGAAAAACGAAAAATGAATTTAGGGCTTTTCTTGTAACCTCTATAACTTTGCAAAGAAAAGTCGTGTAGAGCTGGGAGATGCCTCGTTTTGATCAGAAATTTATGGACTACAATTACGCCTCATTAAGAAAGTTTTTGGTTGTTCTTTAGAGTTTCTCGAAAACTGGTTTTCCAGAAGATCGATCTTTGAAGGCCTAGCAGTAGCATTCATGGTGATATTCGGAATCAGCATCGTCGACTACCTATAGTCCACTTGGTTTCGTTGAAAAAGCGATTTATCAGTTGGAGTACTTCTCTCGTCAGCTTTTCAAGCTGAATTAAAAAAACTGTGTTTCAAGCATTAAGACGACAACGCGAAAAAACCACGGCCGTTTTTCTGAAACTTTGCTTTTTTTGAATTTTTTGCTTTCCTCCAGGTTTTTCGATCGCAAAAAAGTTCGAGGCACATATATTCGTGATCAGCTCGAAATTCTCTATCAAATGGTATATAAAACAATTTTCTTAACAGCGAAGAAGAAATGTAACCAAATTATAGAAAGCACGATACACGTTTTGAGACACACTTTGATACTCACTTCAGTCGATAAAATAATTTAAAACACTGTTAAAAAGATATTTTTTAAAAAATAAAATGTTTTTCGTTTTAGCTGGGTTTTTGAGTTTTGAAATAGTAGCCGTAGGAATGTCAATTAATCTGCATTGTCTGGATTTAGTGATGGATGATATTTTCTTCTAAATTCCTTTTCTTTTAACTTTCTGATGAACAGATCTTGTATGTTCATCTTAAAAAGGAGGAACACACTAAATTCATCAGCAGAACAGCGAGCTATATGTCTGTGAACTTCTTGAGCATCATGAGGTAAATATTGACCAGAGTGTTTATGATTATGCATTCTTGCTCTCAAATCTACACATTCGCATTGGTATTACAATTCATGTTTGCATTGCATTCTAATTTTTGACCGTGTTCATTTATGATGTAAGAAGAAATTTTTAGTCTATTACATAAGAAGCATCTTGATGCATTACATTTTGAAATAACTGGTGCTATTGGAGTATTGGAATAAAAATTTGTTGAGATCTGTAATGGTCGCAAGTTTGCTGGTTGTCGTCTAGCATGTATAAGACGATGATTATTTGCTGTGTATGGTTCCTGACTTCTATGCGTTCCAAAATACAATGATCCCGGATATTTTTCAAGTAACTTTTCACAGAAATGAGATAGAGACCTGCAGTTTTCAGTTTTGAAACCTAGGCACTTAACTACGTGTTTCTGTAAGAAAAAGCAAATTTCGGAAAAACCTTTGAAACGGCTTTTTCAGAGGATTCTTGGGAAACTAGCTTGGTTTTTCCGAAATTCACATAGAAATGTATTGATTTTTTTCATGGACTGATAGCCCGGAGTTTTCTCTTCAAAATGCGAGTAAAGTGAGACCTTGATTTTGCGATGCTAGTAAAGTGAGACCAAAGTTCTCCCAAAGGCGTATTCTTATTCATAAGAGCCCGCTTTACAAAAACGAGACGTCTGGATAGTTTCTAGCATGTTTAACTCCAAAGTTATAAGCAGTTTAATTAAAAAGCCTGGTTAGAGAAAACTGGGAAAAAAACTGGTCAACACTCCCACCTTAAGCTAGTTATAAAGTAAGATCCAAAATAGATGTGAAGTTTCTAAATGTCTTGTTTTGTAGAGATACGTCTGCCCAACAAATTTGATTTTCCAATATAATTTTAAAACTTTATCCCTCCAATATAACTATAAAAAACCGAAAACAACTGCTGGAAAAGACTGGTGCATGTCTAACTGGTACCCGGTGACTCTAGATAGCTTTAAGGACGGATGGACTATAGATAATCGACCATGCTGAGTCTCGTGGCAATATTTGTTTTTAGAAAAGGTTTTAAAAATCTACCGAAAAGCCAGTTTGACGAAAATCAGGGTTTTCAGGCTGTTTTCATCTAATATTAAAAAATTCAATATCCACTCAAAAAACATCAAAACAAGCTCAAAATCAAAGGATATGATTAATGTTGCCCACTAAACATGATCATAAGATCGAAGAAATTGAAAAACATATTTTTGTTAATAGGTTTTCCAGAAATCCTTTTGGGAAACCTGAGGGTATTTTAAAATTTATTCGAGATCTCCTATAAATAGGATATAGAATAGCTTAAATACTCTACATTCTGAAGTCTTGAACTCGTTCTGATGTTTTTTGAGTGAATACTGAATTTTTTAATATTCGATGAAAACAGCCTGAAAACCCTGATTTTCGTCAAACTGGCTTTTCGGTAGATTTTTAAAACCTTTTCTAAAAACAAATATTGCCACGAGACTCAGCATGGTCGATTATCCATAGTCCATCCGTCCTTAAGGCTACCATGAGTCACCAGGTGCTAGTCGTAGGACTCGTCGGAAATCTCGCCGTAATAATATATACCGGATAATACATATGGGTATGTAAAAATTGAAGAATTTACGAGAAAACCTTTTCTATTCTCTGTGGGAATTATTAAACAAAATCGCAACGTAGATTCCAGACACATCCAGCCGCATTCTGATGATCGAATCTCATGTTACTCGGTAGTCGGGCTAGCACCGGATCTGATGATCGAAATGTGATGGGAATAGTTGAACCCCCCACTCATCCCTCACAGCTGAATGGAGTCAGACTAGGATCAAGCAGGAATGTGTTTTGAACCGTATACTATGATAACTACTACTGGGGGACTCTTGCCCACATTTTATCGAGAAAATTCTTTTGTTAGAAAATATAATGTGCCATACATCATCCGACGCAGTTCCACGCACTGATTTCGAATGTTCATTATATTTTGGATATATTTCACGTATGTTAAGCATTAAGTATTAACATTGACATGGGTAAAAACAAAAGAACTTCAAGAATTGAAAATTTCTTTAGTACATTAGTAGTGTTAATAACATTAGTTAATAGTTCAGTAAGCTTTAATATCTATATGTTGACTGATAAAGTATTCAGAAAAGAATTAAAATGTTTAATTCTCTGTAAATAACCTACTTATTATGTAAAAATAAATGACAAGATCCAATATAGTTGAACAGTCGACAACAAAATTCTAACTATAATCAGCTGCCATAGAGTATGCTAATCTTCTCTCTTGAATTGGTGTATTGCACGCACAAAAAATACAAACGTGCTTGAAGGAAAACTGGTTGTTACTAATCCTATTTCAATAGTAATAATTGTTAGAGTGCTAAATTCATTCATCTGTCTCAGTATGTTAGAGTCATGTTTGTATTTTCAGATTTTCAATAATGACTGATCTCAGATTATAATTTTCTAGAAAAAGATGGGAATTCTCATTTTTTTTGAAAACCATGTTTTCCACCATAATTGTATATAAATTAAATTCGAAATAAGAGCGAAACAAATAAGTATTAGAATGTGATTGGTCTTGAAGAAAACAAGATTACGCATTTTTGAATCGACAGACTAATTCCATCAACTTCAAGTTTGAGAATTTAGTCTCAATTTGACGGTGGAGATTTAGAATTAATGTGTTGCTGGAAGCGATCAGGTCGTGTACAACATCTAGACTATGTACAAGTCATTGACTTTCTTTGAAATTACAGTGATCAAGTGGAACAGCTTGTTATGTTCACAAATTGAAGACCAGAAGAAAAGAAAAGTTCTAAAGCTTCCCTGGATTTCTGTTTATTTTTTTAAATCACATTCTCATGTATGAACTATACCATACATTGAAGTTAAATTCTATGTTTTTCATTATTTGTCTGATGCTTTTCTTTTCCCGTATTATCTCGTTCTGGCATCAAACAGAAATTGTGGCTGCATAAGCCGTTCAGTTGAAGTCAATCGATAGAGGAACACATTTAAATCGGGTGATTCAGTTCTTCAAAAATTGGAGTTCGAAAAAGCTTTTCCACTGTGTTTTTATAAAAAAAGTTTTTCGTTTGCTATTGAATTATTGGAAGCATACAGTAGACAACATCGAAGGTTTTTCATGTACGTTGAAACACACTGTATTTTTTGTGAATCGACTTTGACACTAGAGAAAAAAGCTACTTTATAACAGTGGTATTGTTTTCCTGTGATGAATGAAAAATGGTCAAATGTTAATTTTCTTCATAGAAAAGGCCTAAAAGAAACCTTTAGAGTGTACACAGTTTAGATGATAATCTAAATTGAATCTTATTTGACATTCATAGTGGAACTTCTTGTATCCAAGATTTTAAGAAATGTCACAAGATCTTGAAATAAACACCAAGAAATTAAAATTTTGAATTCTTGAAACTTGCACTCGAGATCTTTGCCAAGGTCTTGAGTTAATCGAGTGAAAATGGTTCAAAGTATTGAGATAAAATTTTTTACATTTTCATTATTATGTGGCAGACATAATCATTAGACATACAACCATATGTGGTCATAGATTCATCCTTGAACAGTTGTGTTTAGGAAAAGAAAATTTTGGTTACAAAAAGTTTTACAGAAGACTTCTGTGTATTGTTGTGTAAAATCGTTTTCAAATAAAACTAAATTAGCGCCATTTTCGTTTCACGATTTGAATAGAAATACGTTTCACCTTGTGTAATATAATTCTGTTAACTTTTCATTATAATTCGGTATTTGTATCAATGCTAATAAGTTTCTTTTATAATTTTGTTATTTTTCTTAATTTAATAAATATTATCACTTCTTCATGGTTATCATCAAATATTAAAAATGGTGGCCACGCCCATTTATTAAAAGGTTTGATTCGACAAGGTGAAATGAGTTTACAGAAGGATACTCCACGATTATTAACATTGGGAAATAGAGGTAAACAAAGTATATTTTTTGCATTAACTAAACTATATTATTCGATTGCTAAATATAAAAGTTGAGAGGAGTATATTGGACCTTATCGACACACCTGGATTAAAGATATATTACGTACTACAGGCAAACGTTCAGATGCTTATTCTTTTATTTCTCAAAAAAATTTGTACTAAATAGATTACACATTTTAAAATCCTCCGTATACAGAAGACCTACTCCGAATAGAAGACCTCTCTCGACCTCGTCATCTAACCGTTGTAATATGAAAAGAATATAAATTTTTTTTAAGACGCGATATAAGACTCTGTTTAAAGCTTTAAAACTAAGAATAGATTAGAAGGCCATATTACCATTCTCCATATTGTTTCCTCATCCTTTTCTTCTTCAATTCAACTCTTAGGTATATACGTTGTAGCCAAAATTAAGATTAAGATTAGGAATCACGCTTTGTCGGAGTCTTACAAGTGTATAGTCAAATTTTTCGAAACTAAGCGCTAAGAAGCTAAGAGGCATCTAGATTGTGGAATGCGTGTTTTTCTTTGCTTTTTGAGAGAAAGTTGAGTCTGAGAGCGTCTATAGTTGAAACTTTTTTGTTCACATTAGCTCAGAAAAGCTCTGAAAAGCGTGTGAATACGTTTACTATTTCAAAAATAAAAACTCATTTGTTTATTTGTTGATATTTTTAATTGAGATAAACATTTACATCTAGGCGCGTCTGAAGTTAAACGCGTTTTTTTTAATATCAAGGTGGAAAATAGACGTGCCTGATCGTTTGTCTCTCTGAAAAAATTGTTTCAGTGAATAAAATCTTTAAATCAATGTCAGAAATTTGCCAAATGATTTATTTCTATTTGTAGGTAGTGATTGTTATGTGAATGCAGCTTACAATATGGTACTGAATACTCGAACATTGATCAAATTCACCGATGAAATTGATCGACTACTCATTCACTTTCACAAGTCCGATCAAACACAAGATGTTTTTACCGCACTAAGACGTTTAATTTCGTTTGGACGCAATAAAAATGCTGATTCATTAAGTTATACTACCGATTATTTGGTGCCGTTTCTTTCAAAATGTAGTATTATTAATCCATATTTAAATGATCCAACCAATGGACAACAAGATGTAAACGATATTTACAATATTATCTGGAAATCACTAGAATACATGGCTCAGAAAGTGTATTTACAAAAAGTATTGTCACTTAATCTCCGGAAATATTTCGAATATAGATAGTGTCGGATTTTTCGAGAATTCTCTTGCTGACCATTGTCTGCATGGCTTCTCATCAGAGAGAGGTTAAGATCTTCTGCTCTGTTCTCGATAAACTAAATGCAATAAAAAAAATATCCAGACACTAGTTTATAGTAAGCGAACAACATGTAGTTGTAACCATTTCTAGACATTTAAACCGAAATGAGTACATGTTCAAGCATAAATAACATCAGCTTTTTTCTCTATTTGTGTATTTGTAATATAGAGGTTTCGTGATTTGTTTATTCAATCAGTTAAAATAACAACATCAGATGGTGATTATCGACAAGAAGATCAAGGATTCATAATGCTTATTGGCCATGGTAATTTCAAAAAAATTGTTGATAAAAATAATGTTTTAGATCTGAGAGAAAAAACTTTAAAACAATTTGGACCCTTACCAAAATTAATTACATCTATGAATCAACGATTTGATCAGTCTTTTAATAGCATTACATATCCAGTCACATTTATTACTAATAAACGTCAAAAATATCACTTCATATCGGCCATTGTTCATATGGGCACCAAGAATGGAGGACATTATATTGCTTTTATCCGGAGAAATAAATATGTTTACATTTTGAACGATAATACTATTGACGGCCGTTTTCATCTCGATTATCTACGTCAGTTCTTAAAACATGTAAGTATAATTTCTTAAGGTAGGAAAGTAAACAAATTTCGCCTTTTGATAAGAAGAATTCTTAAAATGAATTGTTACTGTTAACATTGATATCTTGCCAATCAGGTTCATGTTCAAACAATTACCTATGAACGTGAAGATATTGGTAATGATGTTCGTTTATTCACGTATCCTGATCCACTAGAACTCAATAACCATTTAACTCGTGTCGAACTGGTTGACTATTATGCTGAGCGAAAATTTGTTTTATACGACGATCGATTCAAACGACGGCCCAAAACCGATCCGATAGCAGTTAGTATTTCTCACCAAAATATGCCTAAAACTTCATCATCAGCTGCAAAATTGAACTTTCAAGGGATAGGAATTATGATATATTTTCAGCTATTCAGTTTCATTCTCTGATAAGAGTAGAAGCCACATAAATTCTTGCTTCTCCAAGTCTTTAAATAAAAAACCCAGACAAGAGGTAATTATCAAGTAGGATGCATGTGTGTATTTACTCGTTAGTTTCTTAGTCCTACATAACTTCGATTTCTTCATTCTCGAATGCGTTATCACAAAGAAAACGCCTTTAGTATACAAAGCAAGTTTAAAAACATCGAATTGTGCACTTAATTAAAAACATACACGAACAGATATCCTAGTACTGGGCCAAAATAACTAACTCTCTTATTGTAAAGGTGGTTCCGACACTTTTTTCGCTGATTTAACGCTCTTATATCTTTTGAACAAAATGACATCTCATGCTTCTCTTGTTTTGTGAAGAAAAGTGTGGTTAATAAAATGACTTGTGCCGGAGCTTTGTGCGATCATTTGATACAGCAATACATTAGAAAAATTAAAGAATACTTTATTTTTAAAAAAATGTAAAAGTAATGTTGAATGTCGTAACAATAATTTCCTAACACACGGTTGTACAAACCTTCGAGACACCTCATTTTGTTAAGCACACTTTCTTCACATTTTGTTCGAAAGATATAAGGATGAGGAAATAGAGAAAAAAGTATTAAAATCACGCTTACGACAGCAGAGTTGGTTATTTTGGCTCTACTCTTAATTATTATGTCTGATGTTGAAACCAAAACTCTAATCGCACAGCGTCCTTAATCGAGAGTTTAACCATGATCTTTGAGCTAACATTTGATAACTGTCTTGTGTTTTATTTAGCATGTCTCTCATATTCAAAGAATAAAGTCTTTTTATTATTTAGACAAACCAACACGAACACCATTGGCTGCGACGTTATAAAAAGAGTGTTGCTGTTTTTCTCCTTATACTGTTTACTGCTGCAGTGATGACCTTTTCTACCGTTATGAGATATGGTCTACGGAAATCAACGATAAAAACAGAAGTGACAGGTAGATTTGTTACGATAATACTGAAATATTCTTTCATACTGTCAGAAACATATACTCGAGTACATTGGACGAAATAATGATGTTAAATACTCAGCAGTTTTAGCGAAAGAGTTAGGTATTGCACGACAATAACTACCCTTCACGTTTATTCCATTAAAACGTTGCTGAATTACTATTGTTGATATTTAAAAAATACGCAGTATAATTTCATAACAGTCTGACACGTTAAACTCAAAGGGTCTTTTCGTTCAAGAGTTATAAAATTTGTAACAGTGAGTGCGGCCCATTGAAAAGATCAGATCTAAAGACGATAAAGTAAAGTAATTTTTTAAACTTTTCTTTAACACCTACAGATATGATCAAGATCGTTTCACTAGAAATACTCCTATATACACTCTGTCCAACCATGACGTCAAAATGTTTTTATTTTTTGACGACGGTGACCAGCGTTTTATGTGGAAAAGTATCATTAGAGTTTTCTCTTCTAGCGTATCCTGATCTGTTTCTTGATGTCGCATACAGATCACCTTTCTTTTCTATATGTATCCTCATGTCTGACATACACATATCTACATGCGACATCACGAAAAATATAAAGATACGCTAAAAGAGAAAACTCTATTGTAAATATTACAGAGATTATTCGCTCAGTCGGCCAAGTAGAAATCTTTCAAAGTAGCTCCATTCAGAAGAGGAACATATCGAGAGTATATCATAAACATCTGATACAGTATTTTCTTTTTGAAGGCATTCTTTTTGTTTTGGACTGATTCTCTGTATGAGCTGGCAATAGAAAACACACGAACATATTTAACCATAGCTCTTTTTCTCAGTACTTAGCACTCCAACAACAACAACAATCAAAACTCATAAATCCACTACAGATGCTCTTTCATCATTTACCGAGATTTTTACATTCAAGACTACGATCACAATTTTCAGCAATTCTACAGATTTACTTACAGATAGTAAAGAACTTACACCTATCAATACAGAAACAATAGTTGTTATAATGTTCATTTGTGTCTGCCTCTTTTTCGCTCTTGGTTTTACTGTTTGCTACTTTTATCGAATGAAACATGAACAAAGCCCAAATGCTACTACAGTTTTAATCGAACACACGGAGTATTCGAAATCAAGTCCAACACTGAGGCAATTCAATCTCGCATCAGTTTCACCTAGCCAAATAATATCGTCAAGTGAGTCCCCTTCACGAACATACAGTAATGGCAATAATCATAAGTCAGAAGCATAACTGTTTGTCACGACACAGCTATAGTCGAAAAAGTTCGATTAGCGTAAGATTATATTTATACACAAACAGTTGTACTGTCCAAATATTCACGTTTTTTCTCAGTATTTGATTGCGTGTATTTTCCATGGACTATTATCGGCTCTGTCGAATACGAATAACATATTGGTTTTATTCCTGATCACAGTTTAAGAGAACAAAAGTACACATCTTGTCTTTAAAATATTGATGTGGCCATTGCCCGAGATAAAACGCTATCAGTGCTTGCAGTTCGTCTACAAAGATCAAGTTCGTGTGTTCGATCCTAGCCTTGTGCAAGGATTGATTTTGTGTTTTGATAGTTTTTAAACTATCAAAATACACGGTTCAAGATTAAAGCTTAAACTAAATGCTACCAACAGCAGTATAAGTTTCCACAGAAATAATTTAACAATTCTTTAAACAAATTATAAACTGAATTGAAATCAAATTTTGAATTCCATAAAAATTCATCTTGTTAGCGCCCTACTCTTCGAAAGCTGATGAAAAGTAAACAGAGACCTAGTGGTATAGCACAGAGAAATCTCCGCACATGTCTTAGTGAATGAGAGGGAGAGATAGGCTAACTAACAAAGATAATCACTATCCAAGGGCGATGGAATATGCACCTGATAGTGATGAAATAATTATTAATGCAGCAATATATTTTGTAAAGTGAAAAATGAATAAAGTATAAAATGAAAACTACAAACAAGAAATACAGAAGCACGAGATCTAACTGTGCACTGACTATATCGACGAAAAAAGGAAAGAAGACAGTGTATATAGAAAAATGAGAAAGAACGAAAACGAACAAAATGGAGAAAGAAATGGCTGACTATCTCGAAAGGGCCATAAAAGTAGTAATTTAAGTTGTAAGGCTAGAGATCGAAGAAATGAGATAGCATGTTAAGAAACTGCCCCCCCCTCCCCCCAAGCTTAAAAAAACCATTAGAAACGGAAAAAAACACGTTTTCTTAAAAACACGTTACGAAACTCCCATTTTTTGACCGTTTCCACGCGTTTTCTATGGGATACAACGGGTGTAAACGCGTTTCATAACGTTTGTTTTATTTTCCGTTCTCACGTGTTTTTCAAAAACAGCCTTTTGAACACCTTACAAGTGCGTTTACTTCTGCGTTAGAAACGTACAAAAAACACGTTTAAAAACGTTCTAGAATGCGTTTCAGATGAAACATTTAACGCGTTTTTTGATTGTTAAAACGCGTTTCGGAATCGAGTCAGCTACTCCTGAATCGTTCCAGAAACGCGTTTCATAACGTATGTTTCACTTTCCGTTCTCACGCGTTTTTAACCATTGAAAAAGTACCTTTTTCAATGGTACTTCAATGGTACTTCAAATGGTACTTTTTTGTTAATAAGCCAGTCCACAATTAATTTTTTCTTTCAAGCTCGTTTAGGAGCTTCACTTTCGGGTGTCAATTTGTTGTGTTACGTCGCATTATCTATGCACATAGCTATCTTTGCATTTGGACCAGTTCGCGTCTCAATGTACTGGCAGCGGTTTCCATCCATGAAGAAAAGTGGGCGCTGTCCATACTATGTACATCATCACATTTGAATATGTCCAACGAGCGTAAATGAATCGATCGAGACTAACCAGCCCACTGATTGCCAACCTCTGTCCTTTTCCTTCACTGTTCCTTAAACGTCCATGTCCATTCTCATCAAACCACACATTTGTTTTCTCCTCATGCTTGTTGCACCATGTTTCATCATGATAATAAATAATGACATTCGACGATCTCAGTTCCTCCAGTTTACGGAAATAAATTGCCCGTTGGGCTTGAAATGGCGTACCATCAAGTAAGACAGGTGCCTTTCGAGTCTGTCCATACTTAAAGCCTAATTGCTTCATTTCCCGATGTAGAGGTGTCTTTGATTTAATGGGAAAACGTTCGTCTTGGGACAGCAATGCAGATAAAATATTTTCCAGTCTTGGGTATACACGATCTTTCAATAATAGATGGAATGTAAATCGAATAGTGTATCTTTGTAGTTCAGTCAGAAGAATTTTGGGACGACCAGCTCGATGTTTCAACGGAGATAATGCACGAGGAATAGACGAAGATGAAGAAGCAGAAGTCGATGTAGTGCGACGTAGAGAATGCTGACTACTCTATGCTTCTTTTTCGACAGCTAGGGTCTCTCGCATTTCTGCTTTCAAACGTTTGACCGATTTATTTGAAATTCCGAGAATGGCTTCAAGACGATCATTAACATTATTCAAGGGAATAATTGTACCAGCCTTCTCCTTTTCGACAAAATCGATAACCTGAAAAGCAAGTTGCTTAAATTCTTTTGACAACTCCTTCGGTATTGTGAATGTAATAACAGCAGTATGGATAGAGACTCTCTCCGAACAAGTGTGACAACGAGAAAAGAAATAGACTCATACAGATGCACCAACACCACGTGCACGTGTGTGTCTATTTCTTTGTTTTCTTTTGCTCATGATACAGGATCTTCACGCTCAAGCCACAAGAAAAGGAAATAGCAGAAAATGTTTATTTCGCTCCTCTCCGTCGACCGCTATGCATTGCTCCTCTTTTCCTCAGCCAATTTCGCGTCCTCCTAATCGTCTCTAGCTTTTGTACATCTCTAATACAGATGGTTCTTGCAGATAGTGACTAAAGTTGTCTATATCATTCACTTGTAAGAAGAAAATAGGAGAGAGAAGAGGAGAAAACGTTGATATTTTTGATTTTGAATGAAAATAAATATCTACCATCGCTTGTAGTGGCTGTTTACAATTTGGGAGGAATGAATAGACATTGCCATCGTGATCAGCATCATCAAATACCTAGATAGAATTTTTTTAATGCTATTTTGACCAAAAAAAGCGTTCTTTTAGATACCTGCAGGAAATCTGCTTCCCCTGCCAAACGATGCATTTTCACGAGCTCGCTTGACTCCCATTTTGAAGAGGACACTTTAGGCTACAAACACATGTGAAAAAAACGATCGAGTTTCTATAAGACTTTCGGGAGCTCTGACCTGATTTTTCAAAGATCTCCTAAAAAACTAGGCTGTGAAATTCTTTCGAAACTTGTTTTCGCTTATGAAAAGATGGCTTTAAGTGTTCTCTTTCGAATGGTGAAAATCGCAGGTCTCTATCTATCTCCTGTGAGGAGTTATTCAAAAAGCAATCAGGGATCTTGTATTTTGGAACCGATAGTAATACATATTTTCCGAAAAGAATACTTTCAAAGAATTGAAACTATAGAAACTAATAAAAACATCAGCGACTGGATAATATTAACGACGAAATCCCTCCAGTATCAAATGTACTTAATGAATTAGATACATATTTAATCAAAAATAATAACAAATGATAGAACAAAGTGAGTCATCTGTCTACTGGTTTAATTAATACAATAAAAACAAAATAATGATATGTCAGATTGCGACACAGCATTCCAAAATAAAAGATAAATTCTAAGATAACAATTAAATAATCTAAATGATTCTCGTATTATATATGTATATATATATGAGTGAATTGCAACTTTTTGGTACTCTATCTATCTCCTGTGAGAAGTTATTCAAAAAGCAATCAGGGATCTTGTATTTTGGAACCGATAGTAGTGGTCGTATTTTAATTGAAATGACTTTCTTTAATCTTTTAAATGTAACATGTACATAAGCTGGTAATCGTTCTGTTTCTACTTTTATTGCGTTTACTGAGCATGTATTCTCTGTTTAGCTAATGTTAAATGTTTTTTTTATATAATGTAATTAAGTATCTTTTTAATAATTTAGAACATCTACAAGACCATATTGTTGATCCACAACCTAGTTGAGATATAATTGCAGTTTTATATAGTTTAGTAAATTGTCTGTTGACACACCAGTTTTCTTTTTTTTGCAAATGTTTTTAGTTTTTGTGATTAATCTTTGCTCTTGTTGACTAATTTTTTCCTATATTCCACTTCGCTTTACGAAGTAGCTTTGCGAAAACCTCTTCGTAAAGGATGATTCAAATGAAAGATTTAGCAACAAAAATAAAAGACTTTTGTTGAAATTTTCGCTTCTCTCAACAAAATTTCACTGATATCGTTCAGATATTTCTTTTCACAGCCATAGACTGAGACTTTCAAAGTTTCTTCCGTTGCTAAAATGCCGTTGTTATTTCTGAAACAAAAAAAACGTTTAACGAAGCAAATCAAGTGAGGAATTAACTGAGTTTCATAATAAAACAAATACCAACCAACAAAATGTTCTTTATGGTTGGTTTTTTCATCTGAAATAACATCGATGACGATGGAAAAAGTTATCACCGCTGCGACAACAGAAAGAAAGCAATTATTAAAGTGCGTATGAATGGATGCTTTGTACACAGACAGTACATTTTTTCGTTTCCTATGGTTCAACAATAAATAATTGAGCGGAAAGAGAACATTCTGTGAGCTTTTTTGTATGTAGCATAATTTCTCATTTGAAAATAAACAGAATGGGTGAATATAAATAAAAATCACCACCTATGTCAAAATACGTATATAACTATATATATATATAAGTATTACAACGTAATCACATCTTCGTTTTTTAAATCCCTGTACAACTTAATCTTCTAAATTCTGCATAGCACAGATCGAATAATTAGAGTATAAAATGGCATCATTACCATCATATTTAGAAGACATCGCACGCCTTTCGACACATGGCACAACTCCTTCCACCATACGCGGTCAAGCTACCACCGAAGAGTTGTACACATATTTTTGTGTACATATTTTGTTTTCAGCAATACTTTTTGATGATTGGTTTTTTTGAAGAATTTTTTTGATAATTGATTCAGTGTTTATTGTTTATTTTTATTGCGTTCTGTAGATTCTAAAGAGCATATATATATAATAGACATCGTTTGACTTACATTTCAATATTCATTTAAATGAGGTGAACTACTTCAAACGAGTAGACGAAAAAATTAGAAAAGTGATGATCCCAATTTACCTATTCATGTATGCGATTATAAATAAACTTCATGTCTTGATAAGAGTACTTTCGATAATCGCTTTCAGTTATTACTGTACCTCATAGATTAGATTGCCTTATATATTCTCTTTCAGCTCATTGTTGTTAAAAGATTTTCTTCACCAAGTATATTATTTGATTTCTTTTAACCCGCAATGACGGATAAGACTAGTAGAGGACATAAAACACTTAGTAAAATTGCAACGGAGAAGGTGTTAACAACTGCTCGAAGCAGCATAGAGAAACTGGCCATCAATAGTGAAAGTTTATTTGGTAAAAATCATATATTCCAGATGGCGATTCACACCTGTTTAAGCAGTGATACAACAGAAACTGATATCGAAATTCCAATGTAAAATTACCGGTATGAATTGTTCCTACATCTTGAACAATGAAAACACAACTAACACAATATATATCTAAGACACATAATTTATGTATATATATATGTCAATATTACTGATAAACAATAATAGCTGTATTATCAATATATTAATGTTACCTGTAAGTTCCTTTTTAAAAATGAAACGCGAGGATAAAACGAGAGAGATTCTCTAAGCCGTTAAAATGAGAAACTTCTAAGTAGAGTTGCAGTAGATCTGATACATACTAGTGCGCTGGCATATAGAAATGACGACAACTGCATCTTTCCGTTTAAGCTCTAGATAAAATTTTCGCTTCATGTATTCTGAAAAAGACTTAACCTTTGCGTGGAAAAGTAGAAGTAATGGAAAACTGAGATAGTGGACCTGATACATCGTTCAACCAACGCGCTTATAATTTTAGATGAATCAGAAATTTTTTTGTCCAAAACTTTTCAATGTTTTATACAATAACATCACGTTGCCCGCAAACTCTTTGCATCTCTTCTCTATCGATCAAACTGCACGACTAGCTAGTGTCTTCACGGCATGTACCCACCGCAAGGTATAAATGCTTATTCTTTTCGTTATAAAAATCACGATTTTTTTTGATTCTTTTTCATCGAAACTAATAGTGCACGGTTGTCAATAGCATATGGACTCGCTTCTTACAGAAATGAATTTGTTAGTACTGTTTTTAAGACATTTATATGATTTATGTGTGGACGCAGTTGAGATGGTAGCTCGGCAAAGCATGGCTCTTCAAGTACTTGAAAGCGAAATAGGTAATAATAATAAATACGCATATTCTTTGTGTTATTTATTCTTAAAGAATGATAATAGATGTTTAAACAAGCAGGAAACAGCTCGGATACTTGTAAGAATCTTCCTCCTTCTTTGAAGACAGCGTAGCTTGTGTCTTGGGCTGACTAGAGAAACACATCAGCCGCTCCACACCGCCTATTAATAACGGTCAGAATTGAAAGAGTATTTTTCTTTGCAAAGGCGAAAAACTTACTGGTCCCGGTTGGATGTATTTGGTCGGCTTGGGATAGGAATACGGATCGAAGATGATACCACTTTCCTGCAGAGAAAAGAGTTGAATTAGAAGAAGAAGATGGAGAAATACACATTCTTGTTTCGCTTGTATTGAGTTAAGAACGTGTATTTCTATACGATACTTTTTTTGATTAGTGTAGGCATACAAGTAAGCTCGCTAGCTCGCATAACCTTTGACGAAGCAGAATGCAAGTACTTCTACAGTTTTGGATTAGTAGTGACCGTGTCTTGTATTTTCAGTTGCCTGATGTTAGTGCCATTTGTGGAAATAGTTAAAGAAAATTCTCAGTTTTTCAGATCTCTGACTATTTCCAGGAAAAGATTTCGAAATCCAGATAAAAGCTGGAAATCCTTGGGTTTCCTAAAACTTTAGAGAGAAATTTTCTGATTCTGAAATTTTATTCGTAATATCCATGTCAAGAAATCCCTGAAGTGCTATTTTCAAGAATGTTTAATCACTGTTCCCGTGTATGATTGATGCTGTATTTTCATTGGTCGATTGACGGCCAATCATCTGCGTTTCATACAGACACACAGACAAACATTGTTGAATTCTGACCATTCACTCCGTCAAAGGAACTAAATCTCCCTACCCCCACCCCCCATTTTCAGACGTCTGTTACAGCGATATCAAACTTTAGCTTTCGATAGGCTGTTCTAGTACACCAGTTACATTTTTTTCAGGAGACGCCTTTATTACCGGCTTAGTAGAAGGGAAGGGGCTTAGTGGAAAGAGAACATGTATTTCTTCGAATAAGTTCCCCTATTCCCGCTAATTCGTTTCGATTTAGCGATTGTCAGTAAGAAGTAGCAAGCAGTATGTACATACATGGCCAGTATACACTCCCGGGATCGAAACCAGAGGGCTTGGAGAACCATTTCCACCGTTTTTCACGTCTAATTGTGCACAGGCAATATAGAATTGAGCGCCGCCGTAGTAATAGGCGTCGTGAAGGGCTATGTGCTCGACGCGCAGGAGATACCTAGAATAATTGGTCTGTAGATGATATAATGCGGTGAGTAATACGTACTCTCCGGTTGGAACGTTCTTTGGGATGTTGAAACTGATGCTGGACAACACTACGGAAAACGATGATTAGTGGACGAAAGGTTAATGATAACTTACTATCAGCGGGGAATGCTGGGTAATTAGTTCCGCTTGGATCAGCATGGGCGGTGATTTCAAAGATCTTGAACCATACGTTGCCGGCGCCGTCGAAGTCGATGACTCTACCGGGTGCCTTAGCCATATAGACGTTGATAACCTGTCACAAGCGTGAATATTGCAGCGATTCAAACATCTCACTTTCAAAGCAACATCACTTACTCCTAAATGGTAGAGCACGTTATCAGTGTTGAAGGTGATTTTGTTGCCGGCTTCGACAGAGTACGTGTTTGGGGCAGTTCCACCTGCACCGTTGAAGCATCTGAAGTTGGGATCATTTACATTTTTGATCTAGGTAAAAATTGATCCATTCAGTCAGTATGAGAGGAGC